TGCATCTTCTTTGTAGCCACCCTTTAAATACTGGAACATGGTGATGAGGTGTCCTCTAAACCTTCTTTTCTCAAGGCTGAGTTCTCTCAGCCTTTCCTCATATGGCAGCTGCCCAGTCCTTGGATCATCTCTGTGGCCCTTCTCTGGACCCCTTCCCTGCCCACATCTTGTTTGTATAGAAGGGACCAAAACTGATTACTCAGTGAGGACCATGTCCAGGCCCAGGCACCTGATGGGATGCGCTGGGGTATGGATGGTGCTACAGTGCCCAGGTCTCAGGACTGAGCACTGAGCCTGTCAGCCACACGTGAACAGCAGAACAGGGCTGGGAGTTCAGCTGAAGGGCAATGCAAAGGTTTCCCTTCAGAAAGGAAATGAAGCAAGGGCAGAAGAAGGAAGAGCAGCTGCAGTTCTGCGTGTCGCTGATCCACACCGAAAACAGCAGTCAAAGATCAAGGCTCTGAAGAGGACTTGCTCTCCTCCTCAGTGGCTCCAGCTCTCCCACCTGCCCTAATACCCACCAGTTTCTTTTGCTGAGGAACAAGCTGGGTGTTGAAAGGAATCCAGGAACAACTCTTTGCTGAGAAACCCAGAGGAACCCCCTCCCCTGCAGCCAGAGGGCACAGCAAGGGCAGGCAGCCACAAAGCACCAAGAGCCACCCCACCTCTAGAAAGGACACTGCACAGCTAGAGGGATCAGATCAGAGCAATAACAATCCAAATGGAATTCATCCTCATGAGGAAAGCAGAGATGGCAGCCACAAAGCACCAAGAGCCACCCCACCTCTAGAAAGGACACTGCACAGCTAGAGGGATCAGCTCAGAGCAATTCGTCCTCATGAGGAGAGCAGAGATGGATTGTTGTTGCCTTCATGAGGTCAAAGATGAGAGGGGCAGGGGCTCGTGTGGGAGCAGAGCAGAGCACCACCAGTGATGGGTGGTGATCCAAGTGGGGATGCTCTGGCTGCAGGGCAGCAGTGAGGGCTCAGCAAGGTGCAGGGAGGGAGAGGGCATGGTTATGGAAACTCTATTTCTAGGCAGCAGCAGCCCCAAGTTCACCATCCTGCAGGAGATTACCAGTGTGGTGTTGCACAGGGTGTTTCATTTGCCTTTTGCTTTCTAAATCCATGTGCTCTTCTCCCTCCCTGATTCCTGACACATTTGTTCCAGGCCTCTCTCCGTACCTACAATCATTAGCCATGCCAAAGGATTTTGGTTAATGCAAATAAAAGGGAAAGATTTTATTCCACCTATAAATCTTCTTTGGCTCACAGCTCTGGGGCTGTGGGGTGAAATCCAGCCCCGGAGGACGCCGGAGTGCCAAAGCCCAGCAGCACTTTGTGCCAAACACTCTGCAGGATGGATTTACTGCTGAAAGATGCTCAGTTGCCTGGCTTTGATATCCTGCTTGGAGGAAGCGCGGGGAGAGGAGAGCTTTTGGAGTGGGGCAGGTTGGCAGAGGAGAGCAGGGCTGGTGCCACGGCCCAGGGTGGCACAGGGACGGGCACAGCGGGCAGCAGCACTGCCTGCCTGGGAGCTGAGGGGTCCAGGAGGGCTGTGGGGAGCAGAGCAGGGTGAGAGTGTGTCTGGAGACAAGAAGCTGAACTCTGGTGCACTGGCCAGGGGAGAAGGGACCCAGGGAATGGCTCACTGCTGCAGCTGCACAAAGTGGGCAGTGAGCTGGAGGCTCCTCCACAAACAGTAAATTTGTCAAAAGCAAACAAGCAAAATAAGAGTTTCAAGGGACAGAAAGAATTCATGGCTCCAGGTCAAATTCAGCAAATATTTTTAGCCAGAAGAGGGAGTGTTCTAAAACACCATTTTTAAATGTTACAAGATTTTTGTTCTGCAATTGTCTAGATGAGAACGTGTCGCTTCCTTTCCAGCAAGAATGCCTCCATTTCAAAAAGCAGCACAGCAACAGCAGAAGGGTTAAGCCATTCAAACAAAGATCTACCAGGTTGGTCAGGATCACTTCGTTTCACTGAAACCTCCAAGCATCGCTCTTTCAGTCTGACTGGAACAATTTTCCTCTTCCCCATGGGATTTTTTGGTTCAGCCACAGAAACTGAAAAATCCATTATTAGCCTGGCTGTAATGCAAAGCTCTCCCGTGCACCCCCAGCCTCTCCCTGTGCCTAAATAGCCCTGAAATAGCATTAAATAATCTAGCACAGGCAGTTCTCAATGTCCCTGCTGAGGTTTCTGCAGGGAGCTGGAGGATGCGACAGGGACACTTGTCTGCTCTGCAGTAACTGCCTCACTTACTGTAATTGTGAGATACAACTGGGTAAAAAGCATTTTCTTAAACATTTAATACTTCATGGCCTGTTATCAGCCTCTGTATTGATCTCCAGAATGAGTGGTTTAGTGAGAAAAATTTTCCCTAAGGTCACCATTCCTAGAGTTGATGACCAGCTTTCCCTTTCCACAGCACAAACCCCTTCCAGAAATGGTTTGTGCATCTGCCTGGGGTGGGTGGCTGGACAAGGTCCTCTCACCTCCCTGCTGGCAGCACTGTGGAGCATCTCGGGAATAATGAAGGCAGCTCTAACCAAGCCTTGGCTGGAAAACTGTAGTGCAGTGGAGGAGTGTTCTGCCAGCATAGTTTTACAGGTCCTCTATCCTCTTTTCATGGTGACTGTGCAACTAAAACCAGCCTTTCAGGACCAGTCCCTATATCTCCTGTTGGCAAAGCAATGACCTGTCCATCTTGCTCCTCACAGCAAGAAACCTCTGTTCTTTTAAAGGAATTTTACTTACTGGTCACCTCTGAGAGAAATGAAAGGGACCTCAATGCCAAGACCAAGTTTAATCCAAACTTCACACTTCAGACCAGCCTAGGATGGGACTCTCTGACCTCCATTTACAGCTGAAGGGGCTGTATGTGTCCAGCTAGGAAGTACTCACAGGAATAAAGATGTTTGTTTAAATAGAAGAAAAGATTTGGCTTGAGATGGGGTGAAGAAAAGCAATGCTGGAAAAGGCTTGTGAAACAAGGCAAAACTGTCCTGGGATTTCATCCCACACAGGTAGAATCACAGAATACCAGGCTGGAAGGCACCTCAGGATGATCTGGTCCAACCTTTCTTGGTGTATGAACTGGTCTCATGAAGAGTGTAGCAAACCTGCTAGAGACCAGGACTGTGGGGGAAAACAAACAAAAGAGAGAGCGATGGAAATTTTGCTCTTTTGTCAGCTGGCAAAACCACTTCCCTTCTAGAAACATGTAAAGGATCCCCTCAGAAGAGTTCTGACCTGCTGCTCTGGCCTCGGCTTCCAGTGAAGTAGAACCTGACCTTGCAAGGTTGAACTTCTCCAGGCAAGTGCTGCAAAAAGCCCTCGTGCTGCAGATGGGAAGAGTCATAACTACCAGCCTGTGCTTGGACAGCCTGCTTGTGGCGGGTGCTGTGATCAAGCTGAAACTTAAAAAGTCCAACCTGCTCCTGTAGCTGCTGCTGTGCCACTAGCTCCCGTCCCAAGAAAGGTCCAAATGAACCAGTGGAAGAGGCACCAAATTGTATCAGAGCCAGGGTACACCTCTGAGTCCAGCTGGGTGGCTGGGAAGCTCAGCAGCCGGTGTCAGAGATGCTGGCAGTGATCAGAGCTGCTCTGCCCCTGCTGCAGCTGGGCTCTACACCCCGTGGAGTTTCCACACGTGCAGACACCCAGCACACACACATTTCCACTGCCAGTTTCTGTCATCTGCCTGATGACTAATTAATATGTGCCCAACACGTGGGACCACTCCCATGCAAGGTGCCAGAACAGGAAGAAGGGAGTTTTTGAAGTCATTTTAGGGTGAATTCATCCCTTTGCGCAAGGGAGATGCCAGAGATGAGCAGAGCCTAGGAAGCTGCAGCTAACACAGTTCAGCTGAGGTCCCTACGCCAAATCTGCCCTGCTTCCCACAGCCTCCACTCTGAGCAGTCCCCAGTGGTCCTGGACTCCCCAGCAGGGAGCCAGCAACGTCGTATTCCCAGGGAGGGACAGCAGAGTCATGAAGGAGACCAAGACTAAGGGACTCGGGTCACTTGTAATGCAGAGCCAGGATTTTGGTGCACTTAAGCTTAAGGAAGACGCTGCACCAACTCACTGCTGAAGTGCCTGTAAGCCATGAAACCATCTTCAATCCATTTTGCCCCAGTATGTTGCACTGCCCCATGAATTAGAAGGAAAACCGTTCGTGTCTTTGATAGTGTGCTTGGTTATCAGCCTAAACTGTAAAATTCTGAAAACTGAGGTGAGAACCCTTTCTCCCTCCCTCTTCTCCTTTCACAGAGCTGACACCTCCTGACATTTCCTATCTATACACTCTCTCATGGCAAGCACTCAGAAGGAACTGATACACATAAAAGCACTGAAATGCAGTTTCAGCATTTGTAGATGCAACAAATTGCACTTTCAGTCCATCCACTCTAGCCCTCTAAAATCTAGAAGTCAACCTAGTCAGACTCCAGTCCTAGCTGAAAATGTGAAGTGTGTACAAAGTCATATTGAGATGATTTTCCACCTTTCTGAAAGTATTGTGCCCTGAGCTCAGGAAGAGACAAGCACTGTTAGAGAACAGCCTGCAAAACGACTTCTCTAATAGGCTGGGAAGCAGGAGAAAGAGTGATTGCTCCTATAGTTAATTACCTGGGAGATGCCCAGGCAGCACCGTGAGGGGGGCTGTATAAATACCTACATAGATTAGCTACAGCTCTCCCAAGCACACTCCAGCATGGCTGCATTGCCCCCCCAAGAAGCCACGGACTCTCCCAAGACAAACATCCTCAAGAAACTGAGCTCCCAGGCACGTTTAGGAGCAAGAGGCAGGATACTGAAAACCTGATCCTGGTCCTGCAGCAAGCGAGTGCAAAATCTCTGTTATTTTCATCATCACCTGGGAGCAGCAGACCTCTTTGGGCAGCACCAGAAGTTCCCACAGGCTAAGGCAAGGAAGGCCAGGGGCTGGGCTGCCAGGGAGTGTGGCTACCTGTGTCCACACCAGTCTCTTACCTCAGGGGGATCTTGATAGCCAGGTACCTGTCGATGGCCACCGCCAGCAGGCTGAAAATGGAGCTTTGGGTCAGCACCAGCACGAAGCAGGCGAAGAAGAGGCAGCTGTGGAAATCCACCTGGAAGCCGATGCTGATGGTGATGGCGAAGGGGATGGCCAGCAGCCCCACGGCGATGTCCGCCACCGCCAGGGACACCAGCAGGTAGTTGGTGGCGTTCTTCAAGGTGCTGTTGATGGCCACGGCCCAGCAGACCAGGACGTTGCCGGCGATGGACAGCAGGGCGATGATCAGCTCCAGCACGATGTAGGTGGTTTTCATCGTGTCCATGGCGAGAGCCCCGGGCG